GTGTGTGTGTGTGTGTGTGTGTGAATCAGTTTCTCTTGTTTCATTAAACAGTTTCCTCCTCACCCAACAGAACATTTGATACAGATTGTTCTGGACACATTTTTATCTTGATTATCATAGTCCTTCAGTGTCACTGAATTCAGTACTAGTAGTATAGTAGTATTAGTATGAATAGTATAGTGTACTCTACTGTATATATGATGCTCTTCAATAGCCAAAAGGATTCGGGCGGTTTCAAAAGACTTATTCATATTACAGTTACTGCAGTTTTTGTGCAGATTAAACAAAGGGGATAACAGTGAGCTTTAATTTAAGAGCCAGGCTAGTAGTTTCCCCCTGTTTCCAGTCTTTGTGCTAAGCTAAGCTAACCTAACCAGCTGCTGGATGGCTTCATATTTAGTCTGCAGACTTTGGGCCTCATTCACCAACCGTTCTTCAGACGAACCCACTTACAGTTCGCAGTTTGAACCATTATCTGACATCTTATTTGGCACACTTGCACTCAAATGACTGCTGTCAGGTTTGTGCAAAAATATTTAGTTATTACGTTTTGTACAATTGCTTAATATAGGATTTTAATTACAGTGACATTTTTATCCGGCTATTTTCTAACGGCCAAGATTTTGTGAAAACCAGATACATAACAGACTTCTTCTGTTTTATTTATCTGGAAGTTGGTTCCTATCAGATATCAAGATGTTTCTGTCTCTTCTCAAACATTTTTCCTACAACTTGAAAGCAACACGTGTTTCTTGCTCACTTGTCTAAATGGAAGTTTTACGGAGGAAACAGGCAGCGCTTCTGGAAAAGAGTCAACATTAAATTTGACACGTTTGATGTGAGGAAGAGGCTTCACACTGCCTTCTTTGATGTACCACTCTGTCTTTTCTCAAGCTCTGGAGAATGGTGAATTAAACACCATATGACAGCTACCTATTACAGTTGCCTGCAGTGTCGCTGCTGGAAAGCTCGTCCACGCCCGGCTTCTCGCCAAATCCGGGGTTGAACTAAAAAGCCTCCTTGCGTCATTTTTCTCTTTTTAAAGTCTACAGGTAACTTTCCTCATTCTAGCCTGAAGCGAGGGAAAAGATGAGTGCAGAGAAATGATGTAACCCAGTAGCTTCTCGACAGCCGGGTCAGAGATGTCATCATGTAAAAAGTTACAGATTAAGACATCCAAGTGTCTTTGGTTCAGATAAGAGCATAATACAGGATTACAGTTATGCATTCATAACAAAATTACACATGCAAACGTCTCCTTGGATTTATCTTTTTGAGGTAATTATTGGCAATGCTAACATGCTGATGTTTAGCAGATATATGTCCTGTTCAACATCTCTGTTTAGCTTGTTGCTGACATTTGCTAATTAGTACATCCGGTGGAAAGCCTGAAAACTAGAAGTGTGGAAGATGAATGCCCTTTGTTTTAAGATGACAGCATTCACATATGAGTACAATGTATGAGTGTCCACATACGACTGCCCATGTGTGTATTTTATAACTTGCAGTTGTAGGCTACATGATACACGGTCCAATCAGCGGCATGCACCAATGCTAACTTTGTTTTTTCGTGTGTGTCTGCAGGAGTTTGTGGACGTCAGCCCCCCACAGAGGAACTGGAAGGGCATCGCCATCTCTCTGCTGGTGATCGTGGTGGTCTGCTCGCTCATCACCATGTCGGTGGTCGTCCTCACACCTGGTATGTCATCCGGTGTATGAGCTAGTTGGTTCTTCTGGAATAAAGCTGTTAAGAATAGACTGGATTTGACTTTGTTTTTACTGTGTTTTCTCCCAGCGGAGCTCCCCAGCAGCGGCCAGTCCAGGATGACTGTGGCGGATCTGTACAAACCAGAGTTCAGCGTCCACGACCCCGAGGCCAAGTGGATCAGTGGTGAGTACTGCAAAGATAGCAAGAAAACAATAGGAGTAACCAAATCCACGGATTGTGTTTTAGCTGCAGTGCATTCTGGGTGATTTTGGGCTGAGTAAATTAAGCAGCAGTGCACCTTGAGGTGTTCTGCTATTAACCTGAGGTGAAATGATTTTGTGACTAAGCACCATTTCCTCTAAAATCTAATCTGAAATTAGACAAATTGTCTCATGAATGTGAATGTTTTCATTATTCTCTCAAAAGGGGCATAGTGTAGCTTTAAATGATGAAACTGATTATGATGTACAAGTGAAGATAAGATGTAAATGAAGGCTTCAACCAGCCAGATAAATCCAGCGGTGTCACATCGTGCAGAAACTCCTCTGCTGCGTTGTGTTGCATGTCTGCACAGAGTCAGAGACATGGAGGTGACGGAGCTCAGGATGAGAATCAAGAGGTGACGGCAGCGTGATATTGTGAGGAAAGAGTGATGGTGATGTGACAGAGGAGAACAAAACAGTGTGACATTGAGAAGAAAGTAAAGAGGTCACGTCTGAGAGACACGGTTTGGTATTTTTATCTTCTCAAAATGAAATATCTGTGCACTTTTGTCAGGTGTTGGAGGGAACAGCTGGTTATGTCAATTTAAGACAGTGTCAGGTTGGACGGCTGGTTTGAAGTCAGTGAGGTTTGAACACTTTTTACTCTCATTTCTCACTGAGAACAGACTTTATGATAACAGGTTAACACAGAGCTCGACAGCGCTGTCTTTAGACTAACATATGAGTTTAATAAAAAGCCAAATATTGTCCAGATAAATTCATCAAACCCCTGGAAGGCCATGGTTCTCCTACCAGGTCGGGAAAAACAAGTGAAGTTTAGAGCCCTGTGGGAAGAGCATGAGCAGAAAATGAAAATCTCTCCTCTGAGGTTTGTTATACTGTAAATTACAACCATTTATTCACCAAGACCACAATCTATAAAAGGATCTCGTATAGAAGGTAAAACACTCGCTTTGTCCTCGTCCAAGAAAAGCTAATCATAAGTAGAGCTGGAACACTCTTAAGAAGCCATTATGCGTCAGAGGTCACATGCAGGTTTCTAGAAATACTGAGGGATTGAGTTTGCAATTCATAATAAGTATTAATTTATTAATGCAATGTTTCAGTTGTACTTTCTGTAAGATCTAAAAATTTAGATATAAATATTGAATTAATACAATGTATTAGATGTTTGTTATAGTGTCCCATACACAAAATCAAATATTAACTGGGCAATTAAGAGCTTCTGAGGATGTTGAATTTAGTTTATTTTTCAAATCTCTCTGTTATTTATCGCAGTACTTGTTCGCGTAAACACATAAACTCCCGCTGACCTGTATTTCAAATACAGATGGCTTCACAGTAGACAGTAGCATCAACAGCATGCAGTGACTCAGGGTTGTACATCCTCCCACCTTGGGATAAACCATATTATATATACAATAAAAATAATACTAATAATAGCAACACAGTGCTTATTGGTGTGCAACGGGCACCAGCTTTAAACTTGATCCCGTGCTTATTGCTAGGCTGAGATTAAATGTAATACGAACCCATTAGAATAATAACAGCAGGCCAGTGAAGATACATTCATAAGAGAGAGTTGAACGAGAATGAGCTGGATAATCTGATCCTTTCTGGTAAATTATTCCAGAGTCTTCAGCTGCTGCAGATGCAAACCAGCAAGCATGAAAAAGTACTCAATAAAATATTTTAATCATGTCTACATTTTACTGGAAGCCAGAGGAGTTAGAATACTGCATTGAAATAGTGAACCTTACCTGGACCTGGAGTTGATTCACCATTACATCTCTTCTCTTGCTTGTGCTTGTTTGTACATTTTACATTCAGGCATTTAACACACTTAAGTCAAAAGTAACTTGAAGCATGAGACAGGAAGTGTTTGTTGTATTAATATTGAACCGTTTCTCTGACTTTAACTAAAGTGCTATGAGAATAATGTTGAAATGTCAGACTTTCAGGACTTTATTCTGTCACCGTGCAAGGAAGCGTCATTCCTCCTCGTTCTCGCTCATATGAGCGTTCGACTGTGGAGAATCTCAAATGTCATTTAACTGGCGGACTGACAGCGGCGACAGATTGTGTTTGCATTCAAGCTCGGAGAAGAAGAAGAAAAAAGGCAGAAAGAGAAGGAAGATAGCAGCTGTAGCTGGAGGAGCTGAACATGACACCCACGTTGTAGCTTTAATGGTTAATTCAGGGGAGAAGATGACTGAATTCTGGAGACGTGCAGGGAGGGACGCAGGGACGGAGGGACAGTGAGAGATGGTCTTCCTGCTCTGGATATGAAACAGAGATCCTGCTGTGTCCTTCGCTTCCACCAGGAGATAATACTAATGACTAGTCCTGTGGCCTGTGGCTTCTCATTATGTGTTGTGGTTGGGACGGCCCCTATCTCTCTCTCACACACACGCACACACACACACACACGCGTATGTATACTGCAAGTGTGCTTGTGAGGACCTTATTTCCATCCCTAAAAGCGGGGGGACACATTTGATCCCGACAGGATTTCAGATCACGAGTCATCACCCAACGCTACAGTTTCTCACAGTTTTATGAGGCTTTGTTCGTCTTTGAGCTATTTGTTTGGGTTCTATGTTTTGTGTGCAAATCAGATGCTTTTGAGACAATCGGATCAGATCGATGGATCAGTAATGAAATGAACGATAGACTATATGCTGTTAGCTAGCTGAAGGCTTACATCACTTAGGAGGAAAAGAAGTAACTTGTTTTGTAGCACAATAATGAATTTTTCAACCCAACAGGGTCAGCTGTCCCATCGTCACCTGTTTTATTGATATTGATGATGAAGTTGGGAAATTACCGGCTGACATGTTGCGTGGTGTAAATCTCACGCAGGGTGGGAGAGGAGAGCCGAGAGGCCCGAGTAGACAAAACGTGGTCTGGGCCTGAATTTACTGCTGGGCCTCTTTGGAGGTGTCGTGGATGTAATTCAAACATGTCTGTGATGGAAATCTCCCCTGACAACCTCCAACTCATTTCCTCTTCTCTCCTCTAACATCCGACTCAGGCTTCAATAGCTGCCCGGCCCTCAAGAAGCTTGAGGGCCAAAACACTTAGAAAAGCGAAACAATATGAGAAATAATTTAGGTGTAAGATTGAAGCTGAAACACTCTGCATGCTTCGATGTAGGGCAGTGCAGAAGCATGAAGCAGCACCATCACTTGTTCTTATTCATGATCTTCAGCTTTATTGATGCTTCACTGATTTTTGAACCACTCAAACATATTTCAGTGATGGTTTCATTGCTTATTTCTCTTTCATCGTTCCTATATGCAGCGTATTCACAGGGTCACGGTTGTGGTGAATTATTCATGGAGTCATTCTGTATTCCTAATGTACCGTTAACGTGAGCAGAGCTTCTTTATATCAGATGAAGAAAACATTCAGGTACTTACATAAGAGAGAAATATAGTGTGTGTGTGTGTGTCCAATCACGGATGAGCGCTTCACGCTGCTTGGCTTGTCGTCCGTGATTGCTAATGAGGTTTGCACAAACAATAGGTTGCATCTTTAGCGGTGACCCATACGAGTAAAACAACATGAATAATGCATTCAGTGTGACGATGCGTAAGATACGTGGAGACGAGAAGCAAAGGAACTAGAGCAGCGTTCACAACTCTTTCTAAAACCATGTTTTAGTTTCTCTGCCAGTGTTGAGAGTGATGCTACTGGATGTTTATTTAAAGAAAATTGAAGAAATATTTTTCGAAAGTCAACAAAAATGGCTGTTTGTGCTTTATAATAAAATTGTGTCATGCATCCTTTTTCACATGCATGTTTACTTCTTTTTCGATGTACGTTTAAGGCTGAAAGCTGCGTGTTTCTGCTGCAGCAGTGAGTGATTTCCACTTCTGCAATCAGCCACAGATTCACTCCAAATGAGTTTCAGGAGTTCACCGGGAGGCACAGCTGCTTCTGGTTCAGTTTGATGAGGAGCTCAGGAACGGGAAACAGTTTGGATTCAAGATATTTAAAGTAACACATTACATATTTACAGAAAGAGCTTGGAAGTAAAGCAGATGCACCATATATTTTGTGTGTGTGTGTGTGTGGTTACATTTGTGTGTTGCTTTGAACTTCAAAAACGGTGGAGTTCAGAGCGAATGGCCGATGAAACGACAGACTCCCCTGTGTAATGGAAATCACAGAGGAGAGTTATTCTGTAGAAGCCGCTGCTGCTTCCTGTTTAGACAAAAAATAATAATACCCAAACAATGCGTCTGGCCTCACCTGCTGATTGATCTCATTTTAAATGCACACGTCTACGTCCGTAAAGGCCACTTGGAGATTTAAATCTATGCATTAATGTCAGTTTAAAATCATTCAAACAATAGAAAACTGTTGCATGGATTTATTTACCATTAATATGGTTTAAGTAAAACATCTTGTAGATTTACTGCATTTTAATGCAGTGTCTCTCCACAAGGGTTTCAAACTGAGAAACACACAAGTGTGTCTAACGAGCTCAAGTCCTAACGAGCACAATTAGTTCCACCTGTCGCAGCTGGGCTTTCTGCAGCTCAACTGAAATCTCATGCTGCATCATATTTAGGTACTAAATGCTTTATTTACACATGCAGTAACTTGTGTTTCTCTTCTACATGTTTCTGTGTTTGCTCTCTCAGATTCAGAGGTGGTGTACAGGAACCGAGACGGTCACGTCATCAAGTTCAACTTCGCCTCTAACGAGACGGAAGTCATTCTGACCAACAGCACGTTTGTACGTTGTTGTACTCCCTTTTTAAGCTATTCTGTTATTTCAGTTTTTCAGAACATTATTATTTTTACTCCTTTTAAAATAAGTTATATTTAAGGGCACATAAAAACACACTTTTAAGGAAAACTACAGAGCCCCAATGCCTCGAAAGATTCTTTATTCGTTATTTGTGAGACTATATTCCTCCGAACTTTAAAAACAGAGATCCTGTTCTTGTCTTGGCGTGATTGGATCCTCGCAGTGAAGAGAGGCAACGTGTCAGAGCTGCCGGCAGACTCGCAGTGTGATAACATCCTGCTGAGAGCTCTGCCTTTAAGGCCTCTAAATGTGCTCGCCTCAATTTACCTCAATCACCAGCAAGAGAGCGGCTCAGTTTGAAATATTATTCCTGTTTGTTATGCAATCAAATCACTGAACAGTCAGTGAAATGATCACATTTTATTTTAGATCACCTTGATGTGAACCAATATGTCAGTGTTTGTAATCGGATTATGTTTTCAGTTCTTTGAATTTGAGTGTAATCAACAGGACTGTGTTTAAAAAGAAATCCCCTCACCTTCTCTGTAAAGCATCTTCTTTCATAAACATAAGGGGTTTGGCTGTTTTCCTTTTGCAGGAATTTAGCAGAACTATTTTGGTTGCATAAGGGGGTTTGATGAGGATCTTTGCTCCTCCGGTGAGCTTGTCAAACTTTGCAACAGCATCAAAAGGCAGAGGTGGCCTCGTAGTGAGGAAGTCACTGATTTGACCCCCAAAAAACATTTCAAACTCGACCATCTGCAGCACTCGAACTGCAGCACAAACGGCCTGGCGCAGCTTTCCTCAGTGAGATCCAGGACGAGAACTCGGCTAGATCAAGGACTTTTTAAAAAGTATTATTGCACCATTTATGCATTTATGAGTGCAAGAACCAATATTTGTATGAATGTGGTCCGTAAACATCATCAAGGGGTTAAACCATCTAAAAAGAGAAGTGTTCAGTCCTCAGTGGTTCAGCTGAATCATTTTTCTTCTTTGTTAGGTGGCCTTCAAAGTGGTGAAGTACTCGCTCTCTGCAGATCTGAAGTATGCGCTCTTCGCTTACGATGTCAAACAGGTGAGTTCCAAATTGAAATGCATCCTTGAATCAAAGTCAGCAACTCTGCATGAACCCTGTGAGCTCTGCAGTAGAGACGCCACATTTTATTTTTGCTCATTGTGATGTCATTTCTTCAGAGTATCTTCTTTACAACCTCAGCAAAAAGGTAATGTAAGTCAGTAAAGCATCAGAATTAATAAAAGTATTACAAAATACTGTTGCATCTGACATCTACTAAATAAACACACAAAACATATCGATCCAAAAGTGATTTGACCTTCTCTCTCGAGATGCAGATCGAGGCGCTTTAGTTTTCTTCGGTCAGTTGCAACACGGTGACGATGTGAAAGAGAAGCCTCAGCTTCCTGCTGCAAAACCAGTAAATGATTCAAAATGTATCATGCAAACAACAAATTCTGTTAAAAATCACAGAAGCTTTGTTGTCTTGATTAGTGACCACGCACGCTGTGATTGGAGTTGTGTCCTTTTCGCTTTTTCTTTATTTCCTGGCAGGCTGTAATTTACATAATGCCTCCATACAACACCCAAGGGAGCTGTCACTCACTGATTAGCATGCACAAACTGACCCGCCCACGCAAGCGTATTATGCTCTCTTGTTGTCTGAAGAGCACTTTGCTGTTCTGTTTCTTAAAATTAGAATCGAGTTGAATTAAAAAAAAAGTCGGAGTCGGAGGCTGGACCGAGCGCGCTCCAACAGTCGGGAGAAACCGGCGTGGGTTCACTTGAGTTGTGTTTCTGTTTTGTTGTGTGCATTGTCATGTTTCTGTTAACACTCAGTCATCCACAGAGAGGTCGAGGTCTCTCTCATGGATTTTTACATTTGTTTGCAAACAGAAGTAAACCGAGGTTTAGAAAGCAGAGGAGCGCGTCTGTGTCCTGCAGTATCCTCTGTAATATCAAAACCACGTCTTCTCTATTCATAGACGCATCGTTCTTCTGCCTCATTGTCTGCAGATCTCATTCCTCTCCTGCATAGCGAGGCTTAATTGATTGCATTCCAGGTTTATTAGTTGCCAGGGCAACGTGAGATCCCCTTGAGGTGCGATTAACACAACCTGCTGAGATGTTCAGCGGCTCGCAATTGAATTTCTTAATTTCGTGCTCTGTTATGGGTGAAGGGAACTCGGCTGTGACGAAGAGTAGTTGAAAGAAGGGACGTTTTGTTTCCTCTTGTTGATGTCTTCTGTTATATTTCTCCTTGTTTTCTTGAGATATGATTGTTTGCGTTACGTGATGAGCTGAACTGTCGTTGCAGATGTACAGATATTCGTACACGGCATCGTACATCGTTTACAACATCTACACCAGGTGAGCAGATGGTGTTCTCTCCCTGATTCAGAAGCAGATGGTGGTTGTTACTGTATTTTTATGTGTGTGTGTGTGTGTGTGTGTGTGTAACAGGGAGGTCTGGGAGCTAAACCCTCCGGAGGTTCACAACGCGGTGCTCCAACATGCAGCTTGGGGAAGACAAGGACAACAGCTGGTACGATCCATTCTTTCTATTGCTTCTCCATCTTTCTTTAATTACTACTTATTTAAACCCAAAGCATGATCTTTTCTTAAACTTAACCAAGTCCTTTTTTGCCTAAATCTTACCGAGAGGTTTTGTTTTCAATGACATTCTATTACTTCTAGATCTAGAGCATTAATAAACTTATAGTAAATGTCAAAAGATTGCATCCTTTTTTTTTTTTTTTTGCATTCGTTTTTAAATGAGCTGTTTTTCAGAAAATGGAGCTTTGTAATTTCTGTGCTTTATTAGCAGATGAGTCTAACGGGCTGTTCGTGTATCATGTTGTGTTTCTGTGTTTGGGCTGCAGCTGTAGAGGCTGTCTGCTTCTGATTAAGTCTCTTCCTGTAAGTCAGTGTTGCACTTTTCCTTCTGCTAATACAGGATACCTTTTATGACAAATGTTTTATTTGATGCCACCAGCCTTTGTGTGGTGCATCTTTATGCGGCAGAGCGGAGTTGCTCCAAGTAAAGTTTTCCAACTCAAAATGGCTGCTGAGTGACTAATGCATATTCAGAGCAGAGCTGGGGAAAATAAATAACTCCTCCGGATATTGGTGAACCTGCAAGCTGATCCTGTTTGTACTTGCAAATGCAAATATTAAAACGCTGATGGAAGAGAAAGAACAAACACACACGTTTTGCTGCCCGGTGAGATAAAATCAGCAGCTTTAATATGAAAAAAAAGAGGAAATCAAAAAGTAATCAATACCTTCATTATCTCCTCTTTCTCTTCAGGTCTACATCTTTGAGAATAACATCTACTACCAGTCAGATGTGAAGAGTAACTCTCTGAGAATCACCTCCTCTGGGATGGAGGGAGTCATCTTCAACGGGCTGGCTGACTGGTTGTACGAAGGTGTGTGTGTGTGTGTGTGTGTGTGTGTGTATTTGTGGGTTTAACAACTAAGAATTGGGGTTTTCCAGGCAGATTATTTGACTCAATACCTGAAAATTTGACTGGTTTTAAGCATAAATGGGATTTCATAGTCGTCAGTGTTGGAATGCAACTAATTACATTTACTTTAGTACTGTACTTAAGTACACTTTAACTTAAGTATTTCTATTTCATCTGACTGAATACTTCACATTAAATACTATTGTACTCGGGAACGTTTTACTGCAGGTCAGGACTTTGTGTGTTTAGTGGTTGAGGATGTACTCTTGAGAGTACACTGTGTGCCTCCTCTGTGTAAAATGTTTGACAGATTTGTCTTTTGCTTTAAAAGAAATGCAGACGAGACAAAACTCTGCAGAATGGCAATTTAAAATCAGCAACAATCCTCTGCGATGCATTAAGTCGCTGTGCAAACAAACTCAGTAGTGCTGATGGTCTTTGCACAAACAGACGGGGGAACGTTGTAGAATACTTTCTGTCTGCTGCGTTTGTGTTTTCTCCTTTTTTGATTTGCATTTACTTTAGACTGCAACCATTTGGCTTTTTGTGTCCTACAAAGAAGCATTTGACCAGTTTCCTATAACGTCCTACGAGAAAAGCAAAATAAAACTGTCAAACACAACTACAGGTGCAGAAAACCAGCACATCTGTAATAATAAAATAAAAACCCATTATTCGTTTTAGCGCCTCTGAGCTCTATGGAGTCAGAAAAGACAAACAAATGTTGATTGTTGCTGTATTTTCAGAGGAGATTCTGCGTTGTCACTTGGCTCACTGGTGGTCGCCTGACGGAGAGCGACTGGCTTTCCTCACCATCAACGACTCCCTGGTTCCCAACATGCTCCTGCCCCAGTTCACCGGCAACGCCTACCCCAGAGGACTGCAGTACCCATATCCTATGGTCAGTCTGCTGCAGGGGATTGTGGGAAATAAAGTGTGTGAAGTTAGAGAGAAATACAAAACATTTTACAGTTTCCCTTCTAAATTAAAATGAGGAATACATTTATAAATGTAATTATATTTTACGTGTAAAATGAAGTGCCACTGCTTTAATTAATAAGAAAAAAACCTAATATATGCTCTGTGAAATCCTTTTACTGTGCTCAGTAGATTTAAGATTTTATAACAAAATAACATCTGCAGCAACTTTTGAGCTGCTTCTTTCTTTTACTCTCACACGCTGATCTCCACACGTGTAATAATAACTTGTCCGTCTTTGTTTGACACCTTCAGGCCGGTCAGAAAAACCCTTCCGTCAAGTTGTCGGTGGTCAACCTGTTCGGAGCGACACACACTCAAGAACTGCAGCCTCCTGATCAGCTCAGGCTCAGGTGACACACACACACACACACACACACATACACAGCAGTGATGCACACAAAGGCACAGAGTGACTGTCCTCTCTTTGTCTCCTGTGCAGGGATTTCTACGTCACCATGGTCAAGTGGATCAGTAATACTCACCTGGCAGTGCGGTGGATCAACCGGCCCCAGAATGCATCACTGCTGACGGTGTGTGACGCCACCATCGGAGTCTGCCTGCAGGTGGGTGTTGCTGACAACAACAACAACAACAACTTCTCGCGTTCATATCCGTCATATAATCAAAGTGAATTTCATTTTCTTCTGTTTAATTCAGAGACATGGGGACTCTTCAGCGACGTGGCTCTCCATGCAGGTAAACCTCATTTCTCATATCCCACAACAATAAGGTACCGACTTAATACACTGTATTATCCTCACAGCAATATGTGTGGCATTGTAGAGGGCCGACTACAGCGGGAAGCATTCGTGCATAAAGTGTGTCACCTCTGTTTGTCTCCGCAGAGACAGGAGCCGCTGTTCTCCAAGGACAGGAGCAGGTTTTTTCTCTCTCTGCCCGTGAAACAAGGAGGTCAGGGAGACTTCCACCACGTCACCATGTTCTCCAAAAAGGTAACGGCAGAAAATACAAGTCCCGTTCTGCATGTTAAAGTCTTCCAAAGGATGGGTGGTGTATTTCCTCCTGTTTCCGATTTCAGTTACGAAGTGACCAGGACGAAGTTCGACACTTGACGTCAGGAGACTGGGAGGTGACAAAGATCTTAGCTTACGATGAAAACAACCAGATCATGTAAGTTTGAATTCTCACTTAAAATACAGACAAAACAGCTTCCTCTGCCTGAATTTTAACAGTTTCAGTTTGATTTTCTCTAAAATGTTGTCCAGCTGTCTAAATGTTGTTGCTGTACATTAATCTGGGTCCCTTTCAATTATTATTTTGCATTTACAGCAATTATTTGCTTCTATTTGGCCCTGTGTTCCATCTTTTGGCTGCCCATATGAACCGGTTGTTGATCCGCAGGCTCGGTACTCTCAGGAAATAACTCGATACTGTGTCTTCTGTGGTTATAATATTGTGTCCCCACTAATGAAAGAGGAAAACACTTTAGTGAGAAGCTACATTTTTATCCTGATAAAAGCAAGAAACTTTTGTTTGTGATTCTCCAGCTGAGTCTTTGTGCAGCTTTTCTGTCCGTTTCTCCCCCAGTAAAATACGACCACTACTACAAAGTGAGCTGGATTAAAGCATACTTTACATGTTTTAAAGCATACTTTAAGAGCCGCAGGGTTCATGACTGCATGAGTCTGTGTCTGGTTGGTCAGCCACGATACACAGTGACTCGTGGAGGCTCATCGTGTGAAGTGGGTCTCTGACCTCGTCCTACTTTATCTGCTCTGCTTTCCGTCCACACAGATACTTTCTGAGCACGGAGGACGGTGCACAACAAAGACATGTATACAGGTAAAATACCTTTTGTTCACCATTTCTCTATGACGTCTCTCTGTTGAATGTGATGCACATTGTTGTCTCTGTGCTCCGACAGTGTGTCCACTCTCGGCCTGTTTCCACGACGCTGCCTCACCTGTGGACTGAAGGAGGACTGTTCGTTCTTTGACGCTGACGTCAACCCCAATGCACAGCACGCCGTCCTGCACTGCAAAGGTCAGACGGACTCAAAGAATTAAATGTAATAGCATGAACGTTTAGACAAATGTCCAAATAAGTCCGAAATGTAGATTTAGATGGCAAATGTCCAAAACAGGAAGTAGATTTATCAGTATCTCCTAACAACAACAACAACAACAATAATGAATATTGTATTTCTTTCATCGCAGGGCCTGGAGTTCCAGCTGTGCTGCTTCTAAGTTTGGACGATGTGGACTGTAAGTCGTTTTTTTATTCTCCTTTTTAAAATGAAATCAGTTTGTGTTCATGTGATGCATGTTTGGGCGAGCAGATGTGCTTTTTCTCTGAAATGGAAACTAGTTTGTAGCAATTAAGCATCATCACGTTATGTTTAGGAAAACACCAGCAGCTGTTGGATTTGACTTCCTGCCAAACTGCACCGGCAATTTGTCCATTTATACGATTTTTCGTATCACATTTGAGATATTCTTCAATTTTCATCTCCACAATTGTGCAGTCGATACTCGTGTTCGCGCTTACAAAAAAATCATTTTGAAAAGATGTAAAAGTGCTGATTCATATCTACTTCTTCAGATAATGAAAAGTATGTTCTTGTGTAGAGAAACCCTGCCTTCTGTGTGGATTAGTGGTTATAAAATAAAGATGGAGTCGTGCTCTTCCGCTGCTGCAGCCTCTGGATGAAGCACTGAATATTTCATGTGAACTGTTGTCTATATTGTCTTTATGAATATATATATACATGAATATATGAGAGGTTTTAGGCTTTTTCTATATTTAGAAAAGTGCTACTTCACATGCTGATGCATTTTAGTTTACTTTAGCAGATTCATATATTTAACACTTTTACATTTATCTTCACAGCGTATTTCATCTTGGAGAACAACCTCCCTCTGCGGTCGGCGCTGGAGACTAAAAAGAGGATTCAGACGGAAATCCGGATGATCACTAATGATGATTTTGGTAGAAAATGATCTGCACTAATGGATGAATGTGTCTGCTTCTGTCTGATCCGTCTGTCCTTCAGCTAATGTCTCCGTGTCGTCCTCACAGAGCTGCCTCTGAAGCTCCTCTATCCTGCCGGCTTCTCTGAGTCCTACCTCTACGGCCTTCTCCTTATTGTGTGAGCCATAACGCTTTATTACATTTACATCTTTCCACCATTTACATTTACTGCCGCACTGTGAGCTTCAGAGGACTCTTCACTTCTCTTCACCTGCAGGCTGGACAGTTAAAACACGATTTACACATCAGCAGCAGATATAAATGAACATAATGATGAGAAAATGTAAATGTAGCGACAATTTTAATGTCCTATAATCCTTTTTGGATGCAGAGTAGGTTCAATAAATATCAGTCTCAAAGTTGTTGGTGGATCAAGTAGTACGATCCTTCACTTAAGTAAAAGTACCAATAAAACGAGGTAAAAATACTACTTCAGTACAGAAGCACTATCAGCAAAATGCACACTACATTATTAGACTGTTAACACTGATGCATCCATTTTAATGTTGTAGCTGCTCGAGGTGGAGCTCGTTGTAACTACTTTATATCAGTTAGCTCGTTTAGTGTTGTGGTTCTCAACCTGGGGGTCGGGCCCCTCCGAAGGGACACAAGATGAATCTGAGGAGTCGTGAGATGATTAAGAAAATGTTCTGCTGCAGAAATTTCTGGTGTTCACAGATATTCAAACTATGGACCATTTTGTGACGCGATCACACGAAACCATCGTCACTGTCGCAGTATGAAACTACGACGAGGGGCAGAAGCCACACTCCAAAAGCGTTTAGTTTTAATGCATTAAATAAATGTAGTGGAGTAAAGAAGTACAACATATAAAAAAACGATTTAAACAAGACTGTTTTTGTAAATGTCAATAAAACAATGTGTTCATTTTTGTGTCCATCCTCACAGCGTTAGTTCTCTGGGCGAGCAGGCGGTGACGGAGGAGTTCAGGCTGGACTGGGACTCGGTGCTGGTGGGATCAGAGCAGGTCATCGTAGCGCAACTGGACGGCAGAGGGTCAGGCTTCAGTGGTCAAAGGTACTGAACATCCACGTGGATGCTCAACATGTACCAGTAGTTTATATCTCTGATCCTCTTCTTTGTCACTTCTCAGGGTTTTACAGCAGGTCCATCGGAGGCTCGGCACAGTGGACGCAGAGGACCAGATAGCAGCTCTGGAGTAAGTAACGCAGTCTGTCCCGTCTGGATGCATAAAGTTGCCTTGTGTTCGGTTTGCACTATGTTAAGGTGCTCTTCTAATACTTGTTAAGTTAAAAGGTTTCCCTCTGTGTGCCTCAGATACCTGGCGAAGCTGCCGTTCATCGATGGCGCTCGTGTGGGAGTTTACGGAGAGGTTCGTCTGTTTCTCCCTGAGGGATGAATCTGTCTCTAACTGTTTGAAAACGTCATTAAAAGGATAAGTTATAAGCTTGAAATGAAAGATTACTAATGGTAAAACATGTGTACATTAATGCAGATATTTCACATCATCACTAGCATCCTTGTTCATGAAACGTGCAGAAATCTCAAAATATCCAGAATCCTTATATAATCTGTTAAATTATTTTGATTTAATCTTCAATAATGGATGATGATGGCAACAATGCAGTCCTCCAGTCCACATTTCCAGCTTAATATATTCAGGTTTCTTCCAAAGAACTGGCACCTTTTTCTTAATAAAATAAGTGCATTCAGCTGAGACAGGAGGTGCTAAAACCAATTTCTAGAAATGCTTGATATGCTGATAAAGATCCGTATTCAATTTGTTAAATAATTACACTCGCTGTGAGACAAATACGCAGGAACTTGGAAACTGAAGACGTCTGCATAAGAAATATTGTCGGTGTAATGTCTTTAAATCTCTTAGAAGAGCGGCTCCCAATTTACTTGCGAGGGTTGTTTTACTTGGATGATGTGCAGAGGCCTGAGTGGGTAAAATAGTTGAGTAAAAATGAACATAACTGTGTGCACTATTCAGTTTATTTCTGCTTTGCCATCATCTGAATCGGAGCATATTTTAATACATCCAGGTGTCAAAAAGAGCTTGTTTTCCATTCTTCAACAGGACTACGGCGGCTTCCTCACTCTGACGATGCTGAAGTCGACTGAGAAGCTGATCGGATGTGCAGCAGCTCGGGCTCCCGTCACCGACTGGTCCATTTACGGTGAGCAAATTTAAATCGCATATCTCTTCTTCTTTGATACACACTGCAGGGACGTGGAGATGTGAATTACTTCTGCTGCTGCAGCGCCGACGTCTATACGTGGTGTATTGTCTGGGTAATGCGACTTTAATTATCCTTAGGTTCTGCTTTCGGGAATTCAAGCTTATTGAGTTTTTAGGATGAAAAGCTTTCTTCATTTGACCGAGTATTAGAGCTACTGTACAGCTGAAGAGAGATACTGCTGTATGTGATTATAGTTTCATAGACTGAAATGTGTCTAACAGAGGCTGGATCCTGCACGCTCCAAACGCACACCTTCTGTCATGTGACATGCACGATCTCTTCTAAAGACTGATTCTGTTTTATTGAAGTTGTAAAGCTGTGATGAGATTAATCACAGCTCCAATATTTGTTTTTCTCCCGTTAAGTTCACATCTTTCTGAAAACGACATACTGCAACCTTTGTTTTCCAGCGTCTGCGTTTTCGGAGCGATACCTCGGATCACCTTCAACTGAGGAGAACGCCTACCAAGTGAGCTGCTTTTACCCATCATGCATCTGTTGCTGGGCTTGTTTTTTTTATATTTTATGTTAAAAATCGTATCAGATGCATAAATTTGAAAGAAGAGGTTGCTGAGGCAGCAATAAATCCTCTAATCTGACACATCAGCAAACCAATAAAACACAACTGAAAAATCAACCAAATATATTGGTTTGTGAATAAAATCTGACGTTGACTGCTCTGTTGCACCGAAAAACATTATGAACAGATCTCCTCCACAATCGTGGAAGTTGAATGATGTCTGTGAATTTAGCGTTATGACTGATTCATTTGTACTCGCCATGCATGTAAAATAGTTATTTATGCAGGAAATAAGCAAAAAGTCATTATTTTGTTAAAGTCAGATTTGTCTCCTTTTAAGCTGTAAATCTTCTTGAGACCCCTCAGGTTTATTTGTGACCTTTTGTTCCACTGCTTTAGAGAAATTAGTTATAAATCAATTTCACTTCCAGACTTTAACGGAGCCACAAGTGAAAGGTTACAACTAAAATACACTTTACTCAAAATACAATTTCAAATTCCTTCCTTTTTATTCCACAAAATCTCCTTTTTGTTATGGTGAGGCAAAGGTCACAGCTCTCTAAATGAAAACGCGCTCTGCTTTGGTTCACTTCACAAACAAGACAGTTAAAAAATAAAGAACATGTGGCCACACGCATCTCAGGGTTCAAATTGTGTCCTTTTGCAGCACCGAGGGAAAAACAGAAAAATGCCAGAGGTGTTGGCTAAAAAGAAATCACACAATTGTCCTCTACGTGAAGGTTGCAGTCAGTCTTTTTCCTCCTAAGTGGGTTGCGTTATAACTGGGGCGGCTATTTTTGTGACTCTCAGCGGTGGGGGGGGGGGGGTGGTCTGCTTTTAAATCTTCCAAAGAGGAAGAAATGTGGCACGATCTGATCAGACAATAATCAGCGGGACATCGTCGCTCATCCTCCGAGACCAAAAGAGAAGCAGACGGGTTATTAAATGTCCGCTTGTTGATGTGCAGCCGCTGACTGGCGGCAGAGAATCATCCCTCGTTTGAATCCCAACCGGGGAAAGAAAGTGAATGATGAGGTTGAGATATCCTCTAATATAACAGCTACCGTCCACATTCCCCTGAGCAATAAAATTCAATCTGGCTTCTTGTTGCAGAGGGGAAAAAAATAATACAAGACCCGCCAGTCTCTCTGCAAATGTGAGCATGGAATGTACAATTACTAGTCCGACTGCTCCACTAGAAAGGCCAAGACATCCCTCCATGACCTTTCAAAGGCCAATTTTCTGTTGTTCATTATCACAACAGGAAGTACTTGATTACAATTTACTTTGAGCGTTTCCATTGTATGCTACTTTATACTTCTACTCCCCTACATTTCACAGCTGTAGCCGATTAACAGTTTAACATTTTAGGAAGCGTCCGTGTTTGCGCAATAAATATGAGGATCCAGCCAGTTAGCGTAGCTTAGCATAAAGAATGGAAACGGGGGGAACGGCTAGCCTGGCTCTGACAACAAGAGACTTTGAGTGGTATCAATCTTATTTAACTCTTAGCAAGAAAGAGAATATTTCCCGAAATGTAAAACCATCCCGGTGAGATTTTAACATGTGATGACATTATGAAATACAATGTATTGATGAAGAATGTGTCTTCCAGGCATCCAAAGTCCTGACCAACATGAAAGGTCTGCAGGGAGGAACTCTGTTTCTGGCTCACGGCACAGCGGACGGTACGGACGCCTCCCTTCTCTCACTGACTGTACTGTGTGTTATTAAAGGTACACTGCAGGTTGTGTCCTTTTTGAAACGAGCCTCTCTACATGATGCAGAGCTTTGAAACTGGATGGATGAGAGCCAGAGCTTTTATATCCAGTAAATTAACCCCGTTGACACTTATTTGCATGTTTGTTTTTGTCCACAGCAAACGTTCACTTTCAGCACTCTGCAGAGCTCATCAAACACTTGATAAAGATCGGAGCCAACTATACTATGCAGGTAAGCACTGAAAGAGGACACAACAACTTGTGTCCAGTAATGTCTGTAACACTGCTTCAATACTCATCATATATGTAGAAGCTGTGCAATCCTGAATCACAATTAAAAACGTTCTGTTCCAAACTGCATAGGGAAAACGTGTATTTTTACACTGAAAATATCCCTTTAACGTGCGCTCTTTCAGTTTTGGATCACCGTTTGTTTTCACCTCTTTGGGACAGATCTACCCAGACGAGGGACACTTCCTGTCAACGCGTAGCCGGATTCAGCTGACTCAGTCCCTACTTGGTTATTTTAGAGGATGTCTGATGGACACGTCATTACTCGACCAACACAAACGCGACGACGAGTGAGAGGCAACGTGGTTATTATTGCTGGACCTTGTGTGTTATGAGTGTACGTGCCCCTGGTAGACTTGAGTGTGCGTGTTTTATACCTGTAGCACAACGTGTGATGGACAAAACAAGCTTCTCCTCAACATATCAGACATGCTTTCTATCGCCTCAGTAGAATACAGCGCCTGCAGTCAGCAAGTATCATGAGGTCAGTACGTGAAATATTTCACTGAGCAGAGAAAATGTTACATTTCTGTTTAAAATGTGTGGGATGTTTGGAGGAGGTGGTGTTAAAATGTGTCCTTTTGAAGCCAAAACACTCTCTAAAGCATAACTTATGAAATTAGCACAAATTCTGGCCTTATTATATGCTATCTTCATGCCATGTAAAGGTGGGATAACAGCAGGTTTTAACAAGTATAGTAATTCATAAGCTGTAGATTGGACAAAACCCTCCAACATGTATATTTAATAATTCTCCTTCTCTCCAGTATTTTCTTTTGTTCCCTAGTAAAGGTTTTTATATCTATTATGTACCAAGCTCTCTCTAAACATTATGCGTTTTTTTGTTTTGATGTTAGGGTTAGAGAGAGAGAGAGAGAGAGAGAGAGAGAGAGAGACTTATCTGAAGGTGATTCACTTTCACAGGGAAACATTTGTAATCAACTGAAAAGCAGAAACCGAGAGACTTTCTAACCAGTTTGTCAGTAAAGTGTTGGCAGCTTAGCTGTTTTACAAATCTGGTTACAGATTTTGTGACGTCATTAAGCTTTTAATTAGACCGCAATAGTGCTAAACGTATGTATTTATTACATGAGATTTGTTTTTATTTCTATTAGTTTACCATTTCACATCACCTTTTCTTTTTTTAAAGATTTAGCTTAAAGGGGCGATGAGTGAAATGTTGTCCCGCAGCACAAAGAAGCCGCTTCCTATCTGCAGTAGCTCTGTGAGGTGTTGAATGCTCACACAGTTTATTGCAGTTGTTACATGATGTACTGTGTAACCTTATCGCGAAGAGTTTGCATTGAATTTCGGCTGTAATGTAGCCGTGTCTCGTGCAAATGTCAGTTCATTTTTTAGTAGTTGCAGGGTCCTTTTTGCTCTTTTTTTATTATTATATACTTTCTACTGGTTGCCAAAATGGTTTTAAACCACTTAATGTTACTTTTTAAATGTGTTCTGGATGAACTGTATAAAGTGTTATTTCTCTAATGCATTTCCAGCTGCTTAAGGTGTCATCAGTGTTGCATAACAAGCGTGCGCTCTTCACTGATTATGTACAGAGAATAACTGTCGGGGCATTCATCGCAGTGGTGGGTGTGTGTGTGTGTGTGTGAAGAAACCTGCTGTCTGTGCTTTGTAACATTTGATGCCATAGAGTCCAATTTAAGGAAACGGTGTGTGAAGTCATTGTTATTGTTTTGATCTGGGTTTCTACTTTGACTTTTATTTATTTTTTTCTGGGTGGGGGGGTGTCAGTTGGTGAGGGTTGAATAGAAAAAAAGCTTATTGTATTTTTTTTTTGCTGTTTTTAATATTAAAGAACAATGAATGAGAGGTGTTTGAGTTTTAATTTGTCTTGCAGAGGAGGAGGAAGTATTTGGATCCTTTACTGTAGTAATACCTCGGGCCCCTAAGCCCAGTAGTCCAGTCATCCATGCATGAGTACAGTAAATGCTGCACTGATGCAGGTGTACAGGGTGTTGCTGTTGTCCCTTGTTTACTGCAGCACCCAACTGTGCACCATCCGTCCTGCCCCTGGTCATGGTCACACTTTATCGGCACCTTTTAATTTCCTTTTGTCACGAGTAGCCGTGGCTGTGTTTGTGTGGCAGCATGCAGTCCTGTCAGCAGTCTGAAAGCTCCTCACCATCCTTTTTAAACCCATACACTGAAGAAAACATGAAATAGGAAACAAAAACCCTTTCTTTCCCTCTGTCCTCTTTAAATCCCATGTCCACGCTGCTTAGACTCAGCCTTAATTACCTCAACGCAATTACAGAGCCAATATGAAGGCCTCATCCTCTGAGGAAAGGAACAAGTCCAGCAGCAAACTTCAGAAACAGTTAAGATCTGAGCAAGGAAATAAGCCTGTCTGGTGGACCGGCACAGACCGTCTACAGGATGTTTTCTACTGTAGCAGAAGAGAAATATGCATTAGTCAGCACTACAGAAAGCTTTTAACTGCTTATTTAACCGGAAGAATGCAGAAACAGCACAGAAAATACATAAGAGCATTGATTAGCCAGGGTTGTCCATTTAATGTTTCTGAATATTGTGCACGTGATCTACCTCAGTGCTGAACTGGTGGCCTTGAGATTCCTTACTTGTCCTCTGCTCTTGAGCTTTGTCTGAGGCTACACTGCCATCTGGTGGTGAAACACCCACAGCTCACCCACAAAGCACTAAAACAGAATACTCCAGCACGAGTCCTGCATTCAAAGCGTTCCTCAAGTTAAAGCACATCAGTAAGAGTTAAAGTAGTCTTTGTGCAGTCAACAGATCCACGAGTTCATTTAGCCGGAGGAGGATTTTCTCAACACAGGAACACTTCATGCTTTAGCACAAACATTCAGCATTCATGGTTTTCACTGGACGGGAGAAGTACGAATGAAATGCACACTTACTGTTTGATAAATTTCAGGATGGAAGATATTTCAGACAGGAACCAGTGAAAATATCAGTTTGTGCATCTAGATCTAGTTTATTGTGTAGCTAGAAAATATGAAGCCACTAGTTTAAATGTAAACATCCAGATGTTTCTCTAAATCATTCTGCGTGGAGGTTTTGGACCTTTAACATTTTTATTTCCATATTTAATGATCGCCCGTTGAACTCAATTTAAAACATCTGTCCAAGACTTCAGTCATGAAGTCCACCAACATTTTTAAAAGTGCAACCGATTTAACTGCAAGTTTCCAACTCAAAGAATTAGTTGATCTTAAGTCTGTTGAGGTTTAATCTTTTATTGCACTGGGTTCAGCCTCTGAGGATTTCACCAGTCATCTTTACATCATCGGAAATGTTTATTGAACGAAACGATGACATCAAAATCAACAGGGTGATGCATAAAATATGAATGAAAATAAATCAATACAGATGTGCATCTTTGAGTCGAGAGAAGTTGGTGTTATCAGCTTTATTTAGAAAATGATGTAAATGTAAAGGCACATTGTCTCCCACTGGAGTCATTGTTTAAACCAAACACCATGGGATTGAGCGCTCAGACAAATCACTGCTCCGCAGTAACGTTAGTGTTTATTAGATTCTACACAGATCGTTGAACATTGACACTCTGCATGCTTCTGGAGGAGATTTAAAATTATAATCTGTTAGAGTGAGCGAGAACTTTACCCTTTCTTTAAAACGGCTCTACTTATAAATGATATACTTCTGTGTTTAATACTCCTCCCCTTCTTCATCTTCTTCAAATGAGTCCATGCCCACCTCCTCGTAATCCTTCTCCAGGGCGGCCATGTCCTCTCTGGCCTCTGAGAACTCCCCCTCCTCCATCCCCTCTCCTACGTACCAGTGGACGAAGGCCCTCTTGGCGTACATCAGGTCAAACTTGTGGTCCAGGCGAGCCCAGGCCTCGGCGATGGCGGTGGTGTTGCTCAGCATGCACACGGCCCTCTGCACCTTGGCCAGGTCTCCTCCAGGAACCACGGTGGGTGGCTGGTAGTTGATGCCCACCTTGAAGCCGGTGGGGCACCAGTCCACAAACTGGATGCTGCGCTTGGTTTTGATGTTGCTGATGGCAGAGTTGACGTCTTTGGGCACCACGTCTCCACGGTACAGAAGACAGCAGGCCATGTATTTACCGTGGCGAGGGTCACACTTCACCATCTGATTGGCTGGCTCGAAGCAGGCGTTGGTGATTTCAGCCACTGTGATTTGCTCGTGATAGGCCCTCTCTGCTGAGATAACTGGGGCGTAGGTGGCCAGAGGGAAGTGGATACGAGGGTAGGGCACCAGGTTGGTCTGGAACTCCGTCAGGTCCACGTTCAGGGCGCCGTCGAAGCGCAGGGAGGCGGTGATGGAGGAGACGATCTGGCTGATGAGGCGGTTCAGATTGGTGTAGGACGGGCGCTCGATGTCCAGGTTCCTGCGGCAGATGTCGTAGATGGCCTCGTTGTCCACCATGAAGGCGCAGTCGGAGTGCTCCAGGGTGGTGTGGGTGGTCAGGATGGAGTTGTAGGGCTCCACCACAGCTGTGGACACCTGCGGAGCTGGATAGATGGCAAACTCAAGCTTGGACTTCTTGCCAAAGTCTACTGAGAGGCGCTCCATCAGGAGGGAGGTGAAGCCAGAGCCGGTTCCTCCTCCGAAGGAGTGGAAGATGAGGAACCCTTGTAGTCCCGTGCACTGGTCTGACTGCACGAGAGAGAGATAACGGTTTTAAAAACACTCAAACAAGATTCATATGAAGAATATCAAAGACTATACTGCTGAGCAACTAACGACATCCTCCCCTCCATAATGACTCAGCGATTCTTTCGTACCAGTTTGCGGATCCTGTCCAGTACGTTGTCGATGTGCTCCTTCCCGACAGTGTAGTGACCGCGGGCGTAGTTGTTGGCGGCGTCCTCCTTCCCTGAGATCAACTGCTCGGGGTGGAAGAGCTGCCGGTACGTTCCTGTACGAACCTCATCTGGAGGGAGAGAAGAGGGCACGTTAACGGCGTGAGCCTTCGAGAGCCGATTGGCTGATTGAAACTGCAGTGGGCGTGGCCAAAATAAAACTCGTCTGCCGACTCGAACTTTGGTCGAAATATGAATTCATATGAATGACAATGACTTGGATTTACTAGTTAATGATCCTCACCGATCACCGTGGGCTCCAGGTCCACAAAGATAGCTCTGGGGACGTACTTCCCGTTGCCGGTCTCGCTGAAGAAGGTGGTGAAGGAGTCATCGTAGCCTCCTCTGGGCTTCTCGCTGGGCATTTGGCCGTCGGGCTGGATGCCGTGCTCCAGACAGTAGAGCTCCCAGCAGGTGTTGCCCATCTGGACACCAGCCTGGCCGACGTGGATAGAGATACATTCGCGCTGTGGAGGAGATTTTGCAAAAACATGTTACATTTCCATAACATTTGGGAGTTTGGTGCGACTCTTCACCTCAGGAGTCACCGATCTAAATAAGCACGGCGAGGTCATTAACATGTTCCTGTCAGAGCATCTACGGAGGCCAAAGTGCTTCCACGCCCTCCTGAAGTATTTCTAATGACTGGTAAACGATGTGGGTGGAAGGCGGAGCAATGGCTGCCTGCTGACGACTCAAATCATGTGGAAGACGGTAGCTAAAGACACAACCTCATCATCTACAGTACATCAAGTTAAAAACTCACAGAAACTAAAGTTCTTCATCAAATGAGAAACTACTCATATTTTATCGTGGAAATTGTTAATAAATGGCTGAGGTGTCAGGCTTCTGCCGCAGTGCAAACCACCAATAACCTATGTCGCCCTTCAGCCTAAATAGCGACCTCTCTTTGTTTCCTTGCGGGCCTTTGTTTTGAATCCTGCTCCCTTGTCCACCCCCTCCCCCACTGGAGCATGTGACGAGGCCGCATGGGAGCTACCAACTATGGCAGCCATCTATTTTTAAGTGCAGCTCCACACAGACAGCTGCCCCACTGACCCGACGTACGTGCTGTAACTGCAGGATAAAATGATGCAGAATGAGTCCATTCTGCGTTATCTTGAGAGTCAGAGGAGCTGCAACCGGATGTGAGCCGTGTGGGCGTGTTGCAACATGCCACATTGGTGCATGCTACTGTGAGAGCTACACTTCCTGGCAATGGCGGCAGAGAGGGTGACTTATCTACTTCCTGTATTTTGTCCTGAAAGTACGTCACAGCCTAAACATGAGACAGCGCACACAGGAGCTTTGCGTTTTAGTTTCCTTGTGCATTTCCTCAACTGAAAGTGAACTGGAGGGATGTTTTAAAGCTCTTAATGTGTGTTTTTATACTGACTCTACATGTGACGTTGTGAAAATAAATCCTGGACACAAGAAGTCAAAATATATAGGAGGAATAGCAACTCTTAAAGCAGGGTGGCTCTCCACGCCTCGTCTTTCATGGTAAATCAAACGGCCCAACAGGAAGTGTCAGCGGACCAAAAACCAGAATTTTCTGGTCCACGCCTCTGTCGTCTTTTCAAAAAGGCCCGCAGCCGTTGCGACACGCTCCCCGTTTGCTCTTACGACGCAACAAATGTGAAAAGGGGAAGGGCAGCTTCTGAAGAATTAATGTAAGCTCTTGGTGAAATGTTTATCCGTGGCTACAGGGGTTTATCGTCGCGTGTCTGACCTCATATTTAACATGAAAAGTAGGCCTCAGTTGACTACTATGCGCCTTTCAGCTGCAGTACCGCTGCAGGAATGCAGCAGCAGCTTATCGGCATGATGGCGCAGAACGGCAGAAATAGAAACGTTAAATACACAAGCGGCCTGTAGAAGCCACATCAGCATTCCCACAGCACGCCCTACAGACAGACAGACAGACAGACAGACCGACATATGGAAACGGTTAACCGTCACCATGCCTGGTCTGGT